TTATATGAATAGCATGTCATATAAAAACTCCTTGCTATGATGTAACAAGATGGCTCAATAATTATCATATGAAGACACTGTTAAGACACATTAAGGTCGAACCCAACCATTTCATTATATCCTTGAAGACACAAAACTAACTGCAACCAAAATCAAGATCATCCACATGTATGCTAAAACATTGTCGGCTATTTCAAGTATAACAGTAAGCCATTCCTACCTACGCCCCACAAAATCATGTCGCAAGCTGATGGTTACTTTCAGTCAGACAGAAACTTCTCCTTCAAAATTTCAAATTGAAATATGCAGTTCAAACTTTACAAGTACATTGTTTCTCAAAAAGAAAGATCAACTACGGCAGCAACTTCTCAAGTTGGATCAGTATTAATCTAAGAGGATGTTACATAGAATCAGATGTAGCATCTAACTAACAACACACAAAAAAGAAGTTTCCAAATATTAATAGGTAGAAAAAAACAGTACTGAACAAAATGAACAGCTAAAAATTATCATTACATAGTGGATGATAAGAGAGAATTCTTCAGTGCAAACAATGTATTACCTGGTGGCGAGTTTCAAGAAACTTAATTACTTCTTCCATATGGTTGCGGTACAAACCCTGCATTAATGTTTTGGATGGATATTAGAGTGATCACTTAGAGCATATAGGAGCAATGATCACAAGCATATTTCTTGACTCGCCTCAACATATCCAAAAAAACCAGAACTCATATCACCAGCAGGGAACCCCATTGCAATTATGTTCTCTGTTATGTACGTCAAATCCAAATCAAATCCTCCTTCCTGAATTAAAATTCAAAACAAAGAAATAGATATCACAAAGAGAAGGTAACATGTAAGAAAATGGAAAAAGGATGAAACAATACACTTATGAGTTATGGGTTAAAAAGAAATTTTTTAACAAGAACTTAATAAATTTGACTGAAACTTGTATCAGTAAACCACACCTGGTATCTTCTTTTGTTCTGGGATACAGCATGACGAGCCTTGACCTGTACAGCCTTCACAGCACTCATCGATGAGTCAACTAATCCTTTTGTAATTGTCCCGATGAAACCAAATTGTGCCGCATTTGACGCTCCATCAGAGCTATCATCTGATTGAGATTTTGGAGATAAACGAAGCCCTAACCCACTTGTAAATCGTGCAAAGGTAGACTTTTCCATACTTTCAACCTCGGAGTCATTTCGCATGGAAGAAAATGGTTGGGGAACTTTCAAATTTCTGGCCCATGATGATAACCCAGAAGCAGAGGGTTTTGATGTTGCTTCTTTAGCCGAATCATTGCTTCCTGCTTCAACCGCAGCAGGAGGTTGACCATCAGGTGCTCCACCAGAAGCCATATTTTGCAAATTGGTAGTTTGACTAGAATCCAAAAATATGAAATGTCAAAATCACATACATATTCACCTACCTGCAAGCACCAGAATAAACACAATATCCTGACTATGAACTTACTAAACATATGCGTTCAACTTTCACAAAGCCACAGTAACAAAACTTGAACTTACATATCAAGTGCAAACGAGGAGAATTGATTCCAACGCAAATATCATCGTTAACAGAGAGAAGATTACTTAAATACCCTATCAGACTTAAAAGTACTTTTACAACTCGCTGCAAAGCACAAACTGACAGTATCCTGCAACTACAAAGTCCGCCTTCAATGTAAACATGACAAGTTTGAACATGTTCTCAAAATATGATTCTTGCGGCGGACAAGAAAGACAATGGATTCATATTCGGAAAATGGCGGAAACAAAGGAAACCCATCACGCAGACATCCACTTCAGCTTCTGCATATAACGCCCACATTCGAAAAGTTATTCAAATTGCGCAAAATGGGTTGCCAATATGTGCGAGCAATCACGTATCAAACCTCATAGTAGAAGCTAAAGAACGCAGACAAAAAAACCTAACAACCAACCAACAACAACACCTAAAATTTCTGGAAATCGACGCAGAAAAAGGGAATCACGGAACCATGATCAGTATCATTAGATCCCAAAAAAATAAAGAAGCTAAGTTAGAATCTCATATATCGAAAACGATACCCTATTGCATTTCCATAGATGTCAATCGAACCTCACCTTTGAAGAAGTCCGAAGTAGTAACCCAATGAATTCGAGGAAAATTACAATTCGAACAAGTTTGCTGAATAAAAAAGCTAGGGCTCGGGGGAGAGGGAGAGGAGGGGAATTTTACTCAATTGACCCACTTGGTCTCAGCAATTTGACGCGTACACCACCCAAACAAAATATAAGGAATTAATTTTTTTTTGTAAAGACGAAATTACCTTTAATGAATACGTGATATTTGTCCTTCGAAAACAACTTTGTTATTACAACTTCGTAATTAATTCTAAATATAGTTACAATTGATTCTAAAAAATATGGCAAAAAAATCATCTGTCGAATTTTAAAAAAAATACGTTTTATTTGAGACTTTCATCTCTATACGATTATAACTAGTTCTTATTTTAGTTGTATATCAGTTATATATTAGTCGTAATAAGGTCGTAAAAAAAATGAAAAAAAAAAGGTATTTCGGACTTTTTCAGCCGAAAAGTGGGTTAAAAATTGAAAAAAAAAATTATTTTTTTCGGTGGTGTACCATAAAATTGCTGCGACCCAAGTGGGTCATTTGAGTAAAATTTCCGAGAGGGAGAGGAGAGCAATTACATTGAAGATCATGTCACGTGCCAAGTATGGGTCGTTAGAGAATCTAAGCCTTTGGATTTAGAGAGGTTCGTGGGCTGAACGGTTCAGATTGTTTAATTAAATCCGATCGGACATAAATATAAAAAACAAAACAAAACAAAAAGTTCCACGTGGCGATTGTTCATATGAAAAACAATTTCCATCACGGATAAAAATAATAATAATTTTATATCTCAAACAGATTTAGTCCGAATCGATCTTTTTTTTATTATAAAATGTGGTATTTCATTACTTAGATATATAATATACAATGAGTTTTTTGCATGGATTGGAATCTACCTGATCTACTGGTTAATAATTTTTCCGGTTGCCGGCAGCACAAGACGAGTAGAACAAAATCAAACCAGTTCAAATATCACCCAAACCATCTTTGTAATATTTCTGATGCTAGGTCCGGTTTTTCTTGCCGTAAAGTTGCTGCCATCTGTCAAAGAGTACTATCATATATTTGGAAGATAGAATCCACATCTGAGAAGGTAGAGTCATGAACTCGAGTATTATGTTCTCTCCATCTGACATAGATCACAGATTGCCATGCAATGAGAGCAATGTAAGGGGAGCCTCTAGTGGTCAGAATATTGTTCAGCCAAGAAAACGCATCCTCCCACACATATGGCAGAGAACTCAGCTTGAGTCGCCCACAAACCATCAACCATAATGAATGTGTAAATTGATAGTCAAAGAGTAAATGGTTCCTAGATTCAACAACCACATCACAGAAAACAGTTGGGATTCATTTGAAGCCCCCAAGCAACTAATCGATCCTTTACGGAGTTCTTATTTAACATAAATGCTCAAGTAGTGAAAGCATGCTTAGGGAAGTACCTTTTGAACCAAACTAAAGGGACCATGGTACCTGAGGAATAGTACACCGAATCTGGTTCCATACGGCCTTGGAAGGAAATTTTGAAGGGATTGAGTTCCTTACTATCCACTGGTGAACATCTTCAGTATCGGGAGATGGAGAAATATCAAGTAGATAATCAGCCGCATTTGAGCCTCAGACCTAGGGTTAGGAATCAACCAGCGATTCCTCTCGAACACATCAGAAACCCGGGCAAACTTGGAAATTCCCAATTCAGTCGGACCATTACTTCCCAAGAATTCAATCAGCTTGCCAAGTGGAGTCCAATGATCTGGGCAGAAAAATATTTTAGTGCCAGTACCAAGTTGATAGTGGGAGAACTCTTTGGCTAGAGAGGTGAGTTTCAGAAGCCGTCGAAAGGACCAAGAATGTCTAGCCAAGGGTTTGATGAACCAAATGCAACGCCTGTGAATGTAATGTTGGTGAATCCATGCTACCCACAAGGACCCTGCACGAGACAAAATCAGCCATAATAACTTTAGTCCCACCATGTTGTTCCATGAGATAGGCCGGTCTTTTAGTCCTAAGCCTCTCTCGCACTTGGGTTTAGTGACGATACTTAAAGCCACCTTAGCTCCTGTGCATTTTTCAGGGTCTCCTTTCCATAAGAAAGCCGAGTATAAAGAGTTTAATTGCTTATACATCCCTTTGGCAAAATAAATGCATTCATCGAGAAGTTGATAATTCCATATATAATGGCTGGAAGTAGTTGAAGATACCCTACAAAAGAAAGATGTTTGGTGGACCAATGTGTCATCTTTGCTCTAACTTTATCCAAAAGAGGACCATAGTCAGCAACACACATCTTCGTGGGTTTGAGCGACAACCCCAAATATTTGACCGGAAGAGAACCCAAAGGTAAGTTGACTTCCGCAGCTAGAGATGCAGATTCAGATGTGGATATTCACGAGGTGAAGAGGTTGCTCTTGACCATGTTAATAGATAACCCAGAGAGGTCCTTGAACTCTCTAAGAATGTCCAAAATCGTAGCAATAGAGTTCGAAGTTCCATCATAAAAAATAAGCAAATCATCAGCAAAAGCCAAATGTGTGATTTGAAGTTCCTCACATCCATGATGATAACCAAATCTTCCTTCCTCGGCCGTTGAATTCAACATGTGTGAAAGAACATTCATACCTATAACGAATAGGTATGGAGAGAATGGGTCACCTTGGCGAAGTCCGCGAGTGCCTTTGAAATAACCCGATAAACCTCCATTAATACTAACTGAGAATGAGGCTGCAAAGATGCAATCATCGATGAGTTTGTTGGTTATGGAAGATTCATGGCTCCTAAAGCCGCAAGGAGAAAGTCCCATCGGATAGAGTCAAAAGCCTTCTAGATATCAATCTTGATAGTAGCAGCACATGGAGAGCGGGGAGAACCATATCGGCTGACAATCTCAGCTGCAAACAAGCTATTTTCCACCATTAGTCTACCTTGAACAAATGCCGATTGATTTCGCAATATAAGATCAGGTAGGATAGACTTGATTTTCGTCAATAAGATCTTCGAGATAACCTTGTATAGTGAGTTATAGCAGGATATAGGGCAAAAATCTCCAAAAGTGTCTACCCCTGGTATCTTCGGAACAAGTACCAAAGTAGTCGAGTTCAACCCCCTAGGTAGGCATCCCGAGTAGAAAAATTCCCGAATAGCATCAATACACTCAGCTACAATGATACCCCAAGTGTGTCGAAAGAAATCAGCCATAAATCCATCTGGTCTAGGTACCTTATTACCTTTTAGACTGAAGAAGGTATTTCTGATCAACTTATTAGTAACCGGTTGAGCGATTTTGTAGCCGAGAAAGTTTGGAATCTGATATGGACGTATGGTCGACCTTTCGCCCATTCTGATCCAAGATGTATTTGATGGAGTTATACGATATGCGACACAACATTACTCGATGAAAGAAAGGTGTATTCTTGTCACCCCTTTAAGCCATTGAATACGGGAACGTTGTTTGAAGAAGGCCTCTTCAACAACTTTCAAGTGGAGGTACTTATTGAGAGAAATCTGTTCACACTCAAAGGATTGAGAAAAAGGATTCCTTAGAGCATCAGCCTGCGCAGAAGGAAACAATCATTAGCGCTAAGAACTCTTTTTTCAATGCCAGTATACTACTCTCAATGTAGAGATTTTAGAGGGCGTTTAAGTGTTTTGAGCTTCCCTGAAAAGAGAGCAAGAGTGGATCCGCGTCTATCAGCCAAATCTCATACCTCTGCCACCACCTCTAAAAGTCGCGGTGATTTAAGAAGGTGGTTGAAGAATTTAAAGGTCTTGGGTTAACCGGTCGGGTATGTTTTAGGTTGACTAGGTCAGGGCAATGATCAGAAATCCCAGGATTGATGAAAAAAAGAATGGCTCTCCGGGAAGTGCGACATGAAGGCTTCATTAGTTAGCACACGATCCAACTTCTTTGCTATAGGTCTATCCGACTGTCTGTTAGTCCAAGTAAAGAGAGGCTTCTGGAATGCTAAATCGTCCATTTCAATGTTGCGTAAACACTCATTAAATCTGTTCATACTTGGATTAGTGCAGTTGAAACCGAAGGATGAGTGTTCTCTAGGGCTTCGTATCTCATTAAAATCTCCAAACAATAACCAAGGGGTGCTCGTTCCTACAATGGCACGATATTCGTTCTCCAATTGTTCCCAAAGTACATGTCGACCTACTTGATCATTGAAGGCGTAGATGACTAGCATAACACATGTGGCTGGTTAGACATCTTTAAGATGGCAGTAATGACTTGGTTATATTCTCCAAGAATGTGGATAGATACAGGTGCTCTCCATAATAATCAGATACGACTATTAGGATCACTTGAGTAATTAACATACGAGCACCAATCAGGTCCAAGAGTGGATAGTATTTGGGGTTGATTTTGACCTTGAACGTGAGTTTCAATGAGGGCACAAAAAAAAGGGTTATGTTGAGTAAATAGGTTTTTTAGGGCTGTTTGTTTGGTGGGACGTTAAAAACCCTCACGTTCCAAAAAAGAATTGACATATTTTAGTGGGAGGTGGAGGGAGGGTCCCTTGCTTGGGTGGGTGGCAAGGGTAGTGAGTGTGGGTTCCTAGCTAATGGGGAAGATAATAACTCTTAGAATAGGGCGTTAAGGGTATTAGGGTCTGAAGGAATGACAATGAAGTATATTGGCTAGTGAGGGGGGCTGCAACTTTATGTTGCTGTAGTTTCAAGGAAGTCTGAGTGGGGGAGGACGGGGAGGGGTCATGCAATGGACGTGTTTGGTGACCATTTGTGCTCGGGCTAGAGTCCTTGGCTTTACTCTTAGAAACCAAGTTATTGTCCTTCTTGTTAGGGAGGGCCATATCAATCCGAGTGGCTTCATTAACTTGAACTTCAGCCGCTGGGTTGGTGGACTGAGGAGGAATCTGGTCCACTCTAGAATTTCCTTGGGGGATTGCAGGAATACTACGAGTCGGACAACTTGTTTTACTATGTCCAATTGAGCCACAAAGTGGGCAAGCCGAATGTATCCAAAGGTAGGATACTGAAACTGTTTTAATCAATCCCGAATCAAATTGAACCTCAAGCTCGGTCGAAAAGGTTTTGGACAGGTCCATCTCCACTTTGATTTCTGTTGAATTAATCCTATTTATAGTTCAAACTTGTAGGGGGTCACCAAGCATGCTTGCTATGTAACTCAATCCATTAATATGGAGCATGTCGAATGGCACGTTGTGCATCTTAGCTCTAAACAGTGGCAAATGCTAGATTTGTGAATGTAAGTGAATCGCCAACTGAGCTCGGTTTGTTGTTGTTTGGATGCACCGTTCACTTGTTTCCTTATCATGTTTCATTTAAATTTATGCTGGTTTGGATCTCTTAAGCGCATAAAGCTGCTGATGAAATAGTTAAATAAAAGAAAATAATGCTCTTCAGTAGTTGTGTCAGTTTTTCCTCTCTATAATGTGGTCTCGTTGGAATTTCTCAAAGTGATTGCTGATATTAGTCATATAAAATGTATTAGTATTTTAGTTCTGTAAAACTTTGTTACCCTCGAGGGCATTGTGTTGTGACCATTTCTCACGTAGATTTTACCCATGAAGAAGCCTGTCTTGCTTTTGTATATCGTTTAGGATGCTCTCTTTGTTTAGATGCTGCTAGAAATGGTGATGTTTTTTCCTCAAGAAGGTATTCACATCTCTTGTCTATCTGCTTGTATCTTTTTGCTAATTAATGTTATGATGTCCTTGTAGGGTGGTTATTTACTTCTGAAAATTGTTCACTGCTATATGTCACTGGCAGAAAGAACGCATGCCGTTGATTTCTTCTATAAAGGCACTTCTTCATTTTTGGATACCCAGCGTTTGATGCAATAGGTTTGATGTTTGTATTTTCCACAGGGAAGGAGCTTCTGGATATCATGTGTTCATTTTGTTCTTGCTATAAACCATTTTTTTTTTGCAATTTTTAGTTAATTTTTATTTGGAAGGCTTACTGTGTGCTTACCTGAAAAGTGGTCCATGGGTTTTAAAACTTGAACAATATTCCATCCATCTTCTCTGTTTAATTAGAGATGTTCTTGTTTCTACTTTCTTCTAGTTTCTCGATTAGTAAATCATGTATAACTTCCATCTGACTGAAGTTTCTTTTCTCAGCTTTGAATGTAGTTAATGACATTGTCGCATGCTTAACTCTGGCTTCACTTCTCCTAGAGGATGGCAAACGAGATGAAGCTATATATGTGTTGGCTCCACCAGCAAATCCAGGTCAATACCTGTTAGTATGATGTTTTCTGGTTCTCTAATCTAACAAGCATCATGAGATTTCTAATCCCATGCATCCATTTCCTAAGATCTTGGTTTTGTATGATCTAATGATAAATAAATAGCTCTTGGACAGGTTAATCCACGAAACCTTTTATTACATTCTTTAACTATTGGGTTACATTTCTTATTTTCTTCTTATCCAGCGTTACAGCTGTACTATGTGGTGAAATGTTTGTAAAACATAGTTCTGGTGTCTGTATGTGTAGATCCTAATGATGAAAAACAGAAGGCATGGTGGCGTAATAGGACGAGGCTTTATCAAATCTATCATTCCGAGGGAATGCTTGAGAACTTTGTTGAGACAGCTCTGCAATTGGTTCTTGAGTGGGTTAGGCGGAAGGTACCGATCCCAACTATATATACTTTTGTGATATAATCTTAGATTTTTTTTTTCCGTCTCATATAACATCGAAAACCAAGGGGACAGATATCTGTCGGGCTTTTGAAAGAGTTTTTAGATCCATTTGAAAATTTCAAGATATGCTAGAGTTTTTCTAATCTAATATATGAAGATTGTCAGTAGATTCTTTTTCTGAACGAGCGAACAAGAGCGAAACAGAAGGCACCAACATCGAAGAGACAATCAAACTGTCTTGTGAGTATAATACACACATATGGACACATGCACACATTCTACTGGATTTCTCTTGTCTTATCATTTGTCTTGCAGGTATCTTCTCTCTTTAAGAAGAATACCTAAAACCACACCGTACTTTTTGTCTTGAAAACATGTTGAACAAGCTTGAGGGGTTGCGGACCAAAAAAGATGCGCAAAATCAGGGCAACCTTAAATGAAACAAAGAGAATTAGAGAAAGGGTTACTATTACAACACAGAAAGCAGACAACTCTGGTGAATCTGAGGTATTTATAGATGTGCACTGTTTACATTTACTAGTTCCAAGTCAGTTTACTACAACCACGTATACAACATCTCCTTAATCCCAAGTTTATTTGAGGTTGACCACATGAATTCTTCTTTATTGAAAAATAAAATGCGGAAATTAAATTAGAAAGAAAGAACAAAAGATAAAAGAACGGAAACACTTTTATTGCTACATCTCTTCTTCTTGTTACATTACAATGAAAATAATCCATACATTTATAGGAAAAATTATTGAAAGAAACAAGGAAATAAAGATACGAAAGAAACAAATAAGGCAAAATATAATTATCACGATATATATTTTATTCTTAATCGATATTATGCCTTTAATTGTTATCAATCATATCAAATCTCCATATTTTGTTTCTATTTCAACATTCCCCCTCAAGATTGATTTTGAAAGAATTTAAAAATCAATCTTGAAGATACAACAAAATGATGAAAAACTTCACTGTTATTAGAACAATCCATAGAAACCAAATTTCATTCATTTAGAGAGTATTAACCTCTTTCAAATCACTTCGCTTGACTTTAAAATTCTAGCTTTAACTCTTTTTGTCATAGCATCTTGCTTGATCTTAGAGTTTTTAGCTTTGACTTCTTTTTGTCATAGCACATCGTTTGAATCTGGTTTTTTTACTCTCCCTTTGAACGATTTGGATATATGAACATCCAAAACGCAAAAGAAAGAAGAGATTAGAAAATTAGAAAAAGAGAAACATATAGTTCAGATCGCAACCAGGCTCTGATACCATATTGAAAAATAAAATGCGGAAATTAAATTAGAAAGAAAGAACAAAAGATAAAAGAACGGAAACACTTTTATTGCTACATCTCTTCTTCTTGTTACATTACAATAAAAATAATCTATACATTTATAGGAAAAATTATTGAAAGAAACAAGGAAATAAAGATACGAAAGAAACAAATAAGGCAAAATATAATTAGCACGATATATATTTTATTCTTAATTGATATGATGTCTTTAATTATTATCAATCATATCAAATCTCCATATTTTGTTTCTATTTCAACACATTTTCCTCCAATCTTTCCTTTTTCGGGTGTATAATAAATTCGTTTGGTACAGTGGAGGCCACCCCCGGATACACCTAATGAAAAAGGGCACAAACCCATAAAAATTTTTCCACAATCGACAATAAAAGATCAAAACTTTTTTTTTGAAAAGTTTCAGAGTTTTTTTTTTCAGCCGACCTCTTGTATAAGAACTGCAGGTGGAGACTCGTGGTGAGGCATGTATGCGGAGATGAAGACGCCGGCAGAGATTTTTGTCGGGAACCTCTCCATGGCGACGGAAATGCTAATGCCACCGAAGCTGTGACCCACGAGAATCACCCGCTCATTATCGGCAAGAGACGACATGAACTCTATCAACGGCTTCAGATAGTCGGAGATGGAGCGGACATCTTCGAGCCGCCTCGGGGCGCCGCCCGCGCCACC